TCATCGCATTTAACTTTGTGGACAATAGTGGTAGGGATAGGTGTACATCCCTATAAGATACCGGTATATATACTAGACACATGTTGTGGTTTTAGCATTGTTATCTGCAAAGAAGTCCATGTTTTTAGTACAAGAAAAAATGTACACTTTTTCTCCAAGTGAAATATACAAAAAAGGTACCAGGGTATACAAGATTTATTGTCTGAACAGGAAAAAACTTTCACAATCTTAGGGACCTACTTCTCCCATATCAATCACAGTATATCTAGCAGACAATATGTTTCTCTTTGGATACATGTACATTATTTCTGTTTCTGATGGGGGTAACAATTGCCATGAATTATATCATAACCATAGAAGATGGCGTTACAATGCACTGCCACTTGGAGTCATAATTAGAAGTTGATTGGTATTATCCACTAGCGGGAAATCAAAAACATTTACCATCTTGAGGTTGGGAGGATAAAATAAAATTCTGAAATTCATATTTCTAAATACTCTTGGGGGGGGGGGGGGGGGGGGACAATTGCCATGAAATATAATGTCACCATAGGAGATGCCGTTGCAAAGCACTGTTACTTCACGTCATAACTAGAAGGTGACCAATGAGATAATGTCATTGGTGTTGCCCAATAGTGGGTAAACAAAAATGTTTACCACTAATGAGTTGGGAGTGAGGAAACCTATTGAGGTTGTGAGAGAAAATTAAAATACCTATTTTTACATCTCAGAATTGAATTAAATGTAGCCTGTTCAGACAGTAAATGTGTATCAGAATCAGTAACAAGGTAATGAATCGGTATACATTCTCTTTAACTCATTCACCTCCATAATGAACTATACCAATCTATGAATTGGAAGAGTTCTAATGTGTTTTCAGGGGTGAATGGGTTAGAAATTATTTTCACATACGAGTATACATGTACAATTTTCAAACAAATATTTCAGCCTAATGATTCAGTGTTACAAAAGCTAATAACTTTCCAATCTTGTACATAATTCTGAAGTTTTCAAAACCAGGAGTTTTTATAGGTTTGTATGGATGTATCTGGTGTTGGCATGTAAGCATTAATGTAAGATTACTAAATACTAAGGCATTAGATTACATCAACTTCAGGATAACATACATGTATTGAAATTAATTTATTCATGTAGAGATATCATTTTAGCAGGCTTATTGTATATGTATTGTTGTTTAAACTTCATTTTACTTACAAGCCAGTTACATTGTATATCAAATATTCAGAAAATATATTTTCATTTAATATTTGTTTAGTATATTGGTAGGGTAAATGAGGATGTAAGTAAAATGTGCTGAAAGTTCCCTATAGACTGCACCCAAAATCTTTTCATTCAAATACACTTTGATGTAAAAAATATATCTTTGTTAGACCAAATATTTTAAAAATAAATTATAGCTTGCTTTCTATAAATTATGAAACACTGGATGTCATACTTTAAAGAGGATTAGTCACTTAAGATGAGTTTTTGATAGACTTACCTCCCTTTGATCTAGCACCTTTTTATCCCCCATTGAGTGTACTTAAGGATCCCTGTACCACTGCGTTGTGTTTTTTTCCTATATACAGCAACCTCCCAATTACTTGCGTTTCGATGTTACTGTAGCGCCATTGGACAAGGACACTTTCATTGACCAGGTAGCTCATTCTGTTCGAGCGATAGTCTAACAATCCTAAATCCAGGGTTTGAATCCCAATCTACTGATTTTTTCAATCGGAACACTGTTGTTGATTATTTGTATGTTTATTTCATCTCTATTTTTTTGAGTGCTGCAAGGTATGGTTTTCTGTTCATAAATATATGATCATAGCTATAGTCATGCTGGTAAAATCAATGTCCAGTGCATAGATACAGTTTCTGCAGTGGTATGGGAATCCCTAAATAAAAAAAAAAATGTTTTCCTTTTTTATGATAAATAGGTGGTCTGTGGTACTGATGTGTTTGAAATCAGCAGATTTTGATTAAAGTATGATTTAGTCATAAGATTTGCTTGCTTGTTTGAAGTTGTTTGGAAAAGTATACATAGTGCACAACTAACGATCTGATCAGTTTGTTCTATGTACCATCACATTGATATATGAAAGAGAATCCCTCCCCAGAAATGCACCTTTATGTGTAGTGCCTGTGTTATATACAGCTGGGGCGACACCAAATCTGTATGTGTTTATCTGGTAGGGTTGGGGTGGTTAAATCGTTGCTGAATAATTTTGATGAATTATGTTTTGTCTATTATCAATTCAATTTTCATGGAACAAGAATCTGACTGATTTAAGAGCCCAGGAATATTTTCATGAGTTTATATCAGTTTGAAGATTTTACTAGCGAAACTAACTTTTTAAAGTATTCCAGTTGTTTTCATGTTGAATTATTTCTAAGCCTCTCATAAATACTTCAGAAATACTTCAGAAAATATGAAGATAACTCATTCACCCCTGAAGTCACATTTGAACTCTTCCAATTCAAAGGTTGGTATAGTTCATTACATGAAATTTCAGGGGTGAATGAGTTAATATGACTGAGATGTTGTAATGTGAAAGTGAAAGAAGTTAAAATTGATTCGATAGACTACATCAAAACATTGTGTAATTTGACGCTCAAGATATGTATAGCGAAGTTTTACGATATGTGAAAGAAGGCAATAGAGCAACAACTAGTTTGGTGTGGCCTAAACACATGTCTGTTCTTTCCTTATCAACTGTGATCTGTGAGGGTGTTGGAAAGTTGTTGTGAAAACCAATCAGTCAGGCCAGTTCAAACTTTGAAATATATAAATAAATGTATATTATATGAAATAAAAACAAGAGTTGTTGTTCTTTTTTCTCAACATTATATTTTTTGTATCTGTGTATTAACTGATAACATATAAGCTGAAGTTTGCAGGGTAACTATGTGTAGCATTGTCAAAGTTACAATCGTGATGAAATTCTATTTCAATGGCAATATGTGCAAGTTTGTCCTTAAATAAGAGCAGACTTGTAGTGCTGGTGTTTCCAACAGAGAACAGACAGAGATATTTCAGGCTACTTGGAGGTCGAAGTCTGAAGTACATGTAGTGTGCCAAATTTATTTTGCTTTTACCAGGAACGTGACGATTGATTGATTGTGCTGATCTTGTTGTTCATTATCTCCTTCATCATGGTGAAACACTATATCCCTTTCTGCTCAAGCGTTTCCAATTCGTCTTATTGTGATGTTGGAAAAAATCATCCAAGCTCCTTGCTGGCAAGTTATATGTAAACCTGGCAGCTCACCATTGTACTGGTCCTTCCAGATGTAACACTACTGGTAAGTGTTGCAGTGATCCAGGCTCATCCTGACAATGGTGGTCTATGTTGTACTGGTCCTTCCAGATGTGACACTGCTGGTAAGTATTGCAGTGATCCAGGTTTATCCTGACAATGGTGGTCTATGTTGTACTGGTCCTTCCAGATGTGACACTGCTGGTAAGTATTGCAGTGATCCAGGTTTATCCTGACAATAGTGGTCTATGTTGTACTGGTCCTTCCTGATGTGACACTGTTGGTAAGTGTTGCAGTGATCCAGGTTTATCCTGACAGTGGTGGTCTATGTTGTACTGGTCCTTCCAGCTGTGACACTGCTGGTAAGTGTTGCAGTGATCCAGGTTTATCCTGACAGTGGTGGTCTATGTTGTACTGGTCCTTCCTGATGTGACACTGTTGGTAAGTGTTTCAGTGATCCAGGTTTATCCTGACAGTGGTGGTCTATGTTGTACTTGTCCTTCCAGCTGTGACACTGCTGGTAAGTGTTGCAGTGATTCAGGTTTATCCTGACAATGGTGGTCTATGTTTTGCTGGTCCTTCCAGATGTGACACTGCTGGTAAGCATTGCAGTGATCCAGGCTCATCCTGACAATGGGGGTCTATGTTGTACTGGTCCTTCCAGATGTGACACTGTTGGTAAGTGTTGCAGTGATCCAGGTTTATCTTGACAATGGTGGTCTATGTTGTACTGGTCCTTCCAGATGTTACACCGCTGGTTAGTATCGCAGTGATCCAGGTTTATCCTGACAATGATGGTCTATGTTGTACTGGTCCTTCCAGATGTGACACTGCTGGTAAGTGTTGCAGTGATACAAGTTCATCCTGACAATGGTGGTCTATGTTGTACTGGTCCTTCCAGATGTTACACCGCTGGTTAGTATCGCAGTGATCCAGGTTTATCCTGACAAGGATGGTCTATGTTGTACTGGTCCTTCCAGATGTGACACTGCTGCTAAGTGTTGCAGTGATACAAGTTCATCCTGACAATGTTGGTCTATGTTGTACTGGTCCTTCCAGATGTGACACTGCTTGTAAGTGTTGCAGTGATCCAGGCTCATCCTGACAATGGTGGGCTATGTTGTACTGGTCCTTCCAGATGTGACACTACTGGTAAGTATTGCAGTGATCCAGGTATATCCTGACAATGGTGGGCTATGTTGTACTGGTCCTTCCAGATGTGACACTGCTGGTAAGAATTGCAGTGATCCAGGTTTATCCTGACAATGGTGGTCTATGTTGTACTGGTCCTTCCAGATGTAACACTGCTGGTAAATATTGCAGTGATCCAGGTTTATCCTGACAATGGTGGTCTTTGTTGTACTGGTCCTTCCAGATGTGACACTGCTGGCAAGTGTTGCAGTGATCCAGGCTCATCCTGACAATGGTGGTCTATGTTGTACTGGTCCTTCCAGATGTGACACTGCTGGTAAGTGTTGCAGTGATCCAGGTTTATCCTGACAATGGTGGTCTATGTTTGACTCTTGCATTCCTTGGTGCCTGCTGCAGACGGTGTTTAAGTATCATTTGGAGTCTGTTTGCATTGAGTGATGTTGTAAACAGTAACTCCTAGTCAGCGGGTTGGTGTTTTTTGCCCATGTGGTGTCGAACCTATGTTTGGTTTCCCTACTGAGAAATTCATTTCACCAATTCTTACCACTTACATGAGAAGGGGAAGAGAGAACAAATGCTATATGCGTTTTTAAAGCAAATTTATTAACATGACTTCGGACCTCATCGCTTGAACTAGATGTCTGCTTTAAGGATTTCTAGGAACAGATTCTAGAAGCCCCGGTTTCTTATCACCCAGACTCAATGGACGATTGCTGGAATTCTTAGATTGACGAACACACTTGCCTTCGTTACATATCTACAAGAAGAAAGATAAGTGACGCTGTATTAAATCGAGGAAACAAGTTGGTTTCAATTAAGAATATATTCATATGTTGGAGTAGAATAAAAAAAATGTCTGCAAATCTGGTGATTTTGAAACGGGTAATGAAGTAATTTGTTACCTTACGCATACCTGTTATAATTATCTTACTCTTATTGCATATATCTGTAACATTTCCTTCTTCTGCTTCAGTAATATCATTCTGAATTATCAAAGTTTGCATTATCAGTGAACCAAGTCCAAATAAGAATAAAAAATATCACGGCAGAATACTAAAGACAGGAAGGACAATATGAGAAGAAGAAGAAGAAGAAGAAGAAGAAGACCAGGTGTTCCGAAAGGGCTGAAAGACGACACCTGCTAAACTGAATTCGTCGTATCTTTGTAAACGGCCCTCTGTCATAGTAAGTAACCAACTTGGGACAACATCGGCGTTACCTACCTTGCCTTGACCACAGTCCGAACCTTCCATGGCCAGAATACGTTGACAGTAATTCGTGTTTTCGATTTTACAAAATATTCCTTGGGAGCAAATTGTAGTGTCTGCTACCTGTAAATCATAGAGTGCATTAACATGAATCAGTAAACATCGATTATCAACTAATCATTATCTTGTTTGAATAATTAGTTTTGGATTCACACAAATGATATTGATAAGGATACAGGGTTTATGCTGTACGGTTTGGAGTGTAAACAAAATTGAAGAACAAATGCAGTTTTAACTTCACTAAGCGATTATTGCAGTATCAAGAGAACAAAAAATAAACAAAAAAACACAGGTAAGACATAATCCAACCACTTAAAATGGAGGCAAAAACGCAATACCTTAACACACAATTTTATTCATACACATGTATTTCGCGCCACCACGTTATGAGGAACAGATGGAAGGATTTCCTTGACTCGTAATGTGTGTCATTCATCTACTGAGGTAATATTCTCGATGAACGTCTTCACCTTGTTTAGACAAAAATGGATCGCATACTCTTGGTGAGTATTTGTGTCGAATATTTGTTTAAGTTGGTAATCAAATACAATGTACCATACTTTCCATTTCAATACAACAAATAACCAACCAATGTTACTCCGTTATTTTTAGCGCTTTGTACATATTATCACAATCAGTGACATGACATTAAAAATACTCACCAGCCATATATGATAATAATGTAAATATAGTAATAAAGTAATCTCATTGGTTGGAAATCTGAAATTATTATTTCAAACATCAACGATATCATGTTTTTTTGTCTATTTCGGTCGATTATTCTCAACATGCATTTCCCTCCATAAATGTGATTCATTTGCTTGAAAAATAGCACATTGAGACATTCATAAACCTTATATATACAATTATAGCATTTTCAGAACTTTCTTTGATATCACGGAGGTCGAAAGGTCGAGAATTAAACGGTGGCGAGCATTTCATGGTATACTGGTAGTATCTGAAACAGAAGCAGCGAGGTTTCAAATGCCATTATTCAACCTTTCTACCTAAACTTTCTATATTATTTACCCGGCACACGAACGAATTTATGCCCTGTCTTAATTTACACTGAGAATTCAGGTCGTAAACTTGTCCTCCGCTAGCTAGGCCGTGGTCTTTGTCGTATTCCGTCTTGGAAAAACTGTTCTTCTTCGTGCACACGTGGTTACCCAGTCTGTAAAAATTTAACGGAGAAAAGGTAGCCACTTTTCAAAGAGTGCATTTTTATCATTAAACCTATCTACCAAATGGTTCACAGGTGCATAGTGAAAATACAATACAGACCGTAATTGAACAAACTATTGATACTTTCCATTACGATCTTTAAGATTCACATTCGAAGCTTAATCAACCGCGTCAAAGTTTGCGCACAAGATTGAAATCGGGATTTGTAGTCGATGTGATAAGACATAGATAAGAACAGAAAGTATAGAGCGGAAACATTTAATATTATAATTTTGTAAAAAGTCAATTGATGGTTTAACTGGTACGAGGAAAATAAGATGATATGCTTTTTATGTATAATGACTTGAAGTAATGTTTTTTTCTTTTTAGGACCGTTCTAAGTCAAAGTGGTTTTACGACGTGAAAATTGTCATTAATGAAATAAGCAGAAAAATGAAACACATATATTTCATAAATGCGTTGTCTTATTGAATAAAATACTGTGTAGACTAATTTAAATTTAACAAAAACGAGTTATTTATCACACTGCTTTCATTTTAGGACCTTGAGGTTTTAGTGGCACTCACCTGTTAAGGTATTTGTAAATTGCATCTGAGGAGCATTCCGACATCTTCCACATGTGCCTTGCCACTTTTTTCGTAGACTGTGCAGTAAATGCAGCCATTATGTATTGCTTGTCATCATTACAGCCAGCTGCCCCATCATGACTGGACCCGAGACTGTCGGATACACAGAAATAATAGTCCTTGTACATTTAAAGGGTATTTTATTGTGTTAGTGAGTGTCTTGTATGCGATACCTGAACTTGAAGGATGCTAACATCAGATCAGAGTAGGTCAAAGAAAATACTCAAAAACTCAAAAACTACGGAAGAGTTTCTTAATGAAGTATTTATATACATATAGTAAATGCTTAATGAGGATGAAAAACTGTGGTCTCTTGAGACTGCTTTTAGATGGCGCGAATTTCCCCCTCAATTTTTTCCCCTAAATATTTTGCAAGACAACGTTTATTTACCTTGAAAGAAGCACTGCCAATGAGCTTATGCCAAGACGCAGTAGCCCTCGCCAATACGTCGTCTTTTTTTAAACACTTTCTACTAAACCAACTCAAGACGCGTGGTCCTTAATCTTCCCATATCAACTGTTATTGTGGAAGTCATTCATGTCTAGAATAGGGAAGGAGGTTGATTATGTATGCTTGATTGAGAGTATACGGGTATGGAAATAAAAATATGATCCTGATGAATCCATGCATGTTTTTGTTGTTGTTTGTATACCTTCCTTTATTTTCTCATTATTATGCTACTATACCTTGCATATTCACCTGTGTTTCAAGTAAACAAATGATTTACCATTGGAAAAACAGACAATATGGGTAACTTTTCTTGGATAAGTTGTCATGTTCTTTGTTTTATTGCGACCTCATTAACCGCCAGCATATTTCTTTGTCCCCATAATCTATCGCCAAACCTCTTTACAGCGCCAATATTTCTTTCGGGAAATGGTGGCAGTATAGCGAGGTTTTACTGTAATTTTTGTTTATATTCTTATCATTCATGATATTTCTCTAACTGATGAAACTTTGACCAAACATATTTCTACTTCACATACCGCCGACCTTGTTCACCACACCTGATCATTTACGCTATTACCATGACAGATATGACCTACCTGTGACCTAATTCGTGAGACGCTGTCTGTCCCGTCGTACCGTACGACGCATCCTCTATTATGGATACCGCCAGGCTCGGCGTGGAACACGTGGTGCCCTTGAATGCAACACCTGTGACGTATCAAAAAAGGTAAATTAAACATGTGCCAATTAGTAAGTGTAAAGGATAAAAGAGAAGGTCAATGCCCTAAGAAAATTTGAATGGTTTTGTTTATACTGGTAGACTGTATGCAGACAGGAAGACCACGTATAAACCTTATGGTGTTAATGAACTCGGGACACAACAATACTTGGCAAATATAAGCAATGTGAATTTGAGCAATACATTAATGAATTATTTCAAAAATATATACATTCAAAAAAATCAAAATAGTCAACTTGACAACTTTCATTTGTATTTCAATACTTTTTAACAGTCGAATGGGTAATATGGAGAGAATGAAATATCATAAAACATTTAAACTCGGGAAAATACTTATAATCAATACTGAGTATTCAAACTATCTATTAGAAACATCTGAAGACTATAATATTCGATGTAAGGTAACAATATATGTAGTCAAGCTTGAATGAACAACACACTCAATGTGTCGGCTCCTTTTGATTTAAACATATTTTATTGCAAACGAATTGGACACAAGTTTTGCCAACTTGATGAAGTCCTCTTCGACAAAATTTAATTGATTACAATACATATCACGCAATGTTAGAGCTACTTAAATATACATATGACAAGAAAGAATTGTAGTTAAGAGAGGGGACAAAGATGAGATCGAGATATTTTTCGAAAAACATTGGACACAGCTAACTTAAGTTTTATTGCATAGTATAATTTGTTTTCATCTAGATTGTGAGCCATGTGTGAGTTCATTGTCCACGTAGACGGAGCTTGCGATATACTGTTCACTATTCGCACACCTTCAGCTTGTCTATTGTCCATTACATCCCGTACCTTGGTTGACTTTCTCCTTGACATTCCTTGCTGTTAAATTCGATTCCACGACTACTTGATGTAATTAGCATGATATAAAATAATACATCATTGATATGTGTTTCTGTTACAGGTGTCAATTGTATCAAAATATGATGATTTTCGTTATATTCCGTCTTTGCGTATTGCAGAGTTATCTTCTCTTGTGAGCAGGTATTTATTGTTACGTCATTGGTTTGTGAGAGTAACGTCATAAATTTTTAAGAAAACGACGTAATTTTCTCACACAAACCAATGACGTAACAATCAATACCTGCTCCCAAGAGAAGATAACTCTGCAATACGCAAAGACGGAATAACGCTTTAAACAATCAATATTTTAAAACCGAACAAAACAAATAAGGTAAATAAAACCCTCTCATAGTTTAAGGCATTTCGAAAAACAAGGATTCAATTTCAGCTAACCAGGCATTGTGTAATGGGGAATGGACATTTGATTTTAATCTAGATCAACGAAAACAATATTTTTGCCAAAAGTTACAACGTACAAATGAATTGTAGCTTTAAAAGTAGCTTATATTGTAAACGAACTCTCGTTAAAAACAAAAACTATCCGGGTTTAATGTAAACAATCAAACAGTGTATTTCATTTAAAAACCGGACCGGCAAAATTTAAGCTGTGTACCTAATTGTATTAGGAACTACGACTTAAAAATGTCAATGACCCATTAAAACAAATTGAAATAAATAGGGTTTTATATTAAAGCTACCATGGTCAGTTATTTTTCGACAGAAATATCAAAACAACGGTTTTACAATCAACGATTCAGCAACAGCATGGTAAAGTATAAATCGAAATCATCATCGCATCATGCTATTTATAAACAAGCTGTATCATCTTACCCAATAGATCAGATTGCCACCCATCCTCGTAGAATGCAAGGTCCCTTCTGTGGAAGGCAGACATTTAATATTAGATGATAGAAAACAGGGTTGCATAAAAAGGGGGATATATTTTTTGAAAGAAATATTCTTAGAAATAATTCCCCTATAAGCTGCATATAAAGAAGTATATATATATATAAAAAACAATTCGACGCGACTACGCTGCAATGCCCCTTTTCCTTTGAATATTATTCGTGAAATATTGTGATATATCAAATATGAACATATATTCCACGTTTTTTTCTGAATTATTCTGTGATTACCTCCTTTCTTTCATTCACACCATAACCAATTATATCACATGACACGTAGTTCTGCGGTTTTATATGAATGAATCTACAGACAAGATTTAGGTTTTTGAACAGAGTGTGTAAGAAGCCTAAGCCAAGAACAATATATTAAAATTTCCTTTCATTTTACATAAATATTGTTGGGTAGACCTGAAGGAATATCTTTTTCTGTAGCTCCCTACAGAAACGTCTTCAGACTGGAAAGTACACTTTAGTCTCTATGAAATAACATTCCTAGTGACTTATTACAATAATTAATAATTCATAAACTGATCTTTATATGGCGTTGTAGGAAACATCATTTAGTCAAAGATATATATTTTAAATTGACTTGAATGTCATTTTAGAGATGAATATGGCTTTAAACAGTTCTGTTAACTATTAGGTGAGATTGAAATGTTTCGACTTTAACAGTAGATAGGCTTTTTTCATAATGGTAATTCAAATTTTCTTATAACATTCGTACGGTGACTGAACCAACTTGTCTCACCTGTTTTTGTTTCAACAATTTTTCCATTTGAGCAATGAGAAATAGCCACTAAGAATTTTAACTTTGTTTTCACTCACGATGTATGCTCTGTATTATGAACGTGAGTTTGTAAATATAATCGCTTACCTGCTGAATTGCATGGCATGGTCAAACTCCGGCAGATATTCCCTGTTACTGTATTGGTACTGTCCAAATAACTTCATGGCATTCTCAGCGTCGTAAATATTGTTGCCAACAAGGTATTTTGGTATCCATGGAAAACCATCTAAAGTCTTTTCATAAACAGATAACAAGAAATGGATATAATCTATTACCTTTCTGATGAAAAAACATAATAATCTTGAACAAAATACGTTATTTTTGATTTGTTTTAACTCTATTTGTGTCACAAATAAGCATATCTACTTAGGTTTGATATAGTTCTGAACATAAAAAAGTGGCAACAGAGGTATATATGTCCTATTTTTTTCTTACGTGTACAGAAAACAATTGATATATATATAAATGTTCCTTAATGAATATGGATATGTTTGTATTCTAATTATTTCATCAACTGAGTTAAGGACAAAACATACAGAAACTTCATCCACCTACTAAAACTCACCTTTGAAAACACAAATCCGTTAATCATAATGTCGACCTTGAACTTGTCATGTCGATCACTCAATGATTGGTATCGTAGGTCCATCTACCCAATGGAAAGTAACGAAGAAAATATACATCATAGAGTTAACATACAAGGACAAACAATGATTGAAAGATGATTAGAGAAGACACCTAAACGAAACCCCGCATGTCCCATTCGACATGATGTCTCCCGTCAAACCCATGAACGTATGTTGGTCAAAGATGATCTAAGTCTTTAATCATGGAAGACACTGGCTTACCATAATGATAGTCAGGTCCAATAGAAAACCCTAACCAGTTGATATATATTGGCAAATATCTACTAGAACATATGACAACACTTTTTTTAAGACGGCAGTTCGTCAATTGGTCTGCGACTATGACTTACATCATTTGCTATGAGTGTATAGTACATCTTCATTTTCGCTAACGTCTCCTCTTCATTTCCACCACTGATCTTCAGAAAACTGACGATAAAGAACATGTATTGTACAGTAGAAGCATTGTAGGTTGGCTTCATTAAAAATATTTGAAAATATTATCGAATATATTCGCTAGAGCACATTGGATTCCTATTATATATACTTAAACCCTTATCTTGCAGCTAACTATTATCATTGCTGTTGTAGTTTTATGTTATGTGGATATTTGAATGTTGAACTGTTGCGTCTTTATTGAACATTTTAAAATTGTTGTTTTGTTTAATACTTACAAATCGTAAATAGTATCATCCAGAAACACAAGAATTTCGACCACGTGATTGTTGCCATGAGAAAGTGCCCTCTTGTTGATGATGTCGTGTAAAAGAGGCCTTCCTTTTGAATGGGCATCATCTTTCGAAATATACAAAAGAGAATACAGTTTTAATTCGTTACACATGATAATATGTTTATTTGTTTTGTTTAATGTTAACGTAGCCGTGCTTAACATATTTTTATCTACAAAGTTTAACAGCAGTGCAACAGTCTTACCATGTAGCGCGGTGTCACGATAGGCAACCATTGGCCTTGTTGTTTTGGCAATTCTGTGGTGTTGACTTCCTTGAGAATGTGGCTGAATTCTAAAATGTTCACCCTCATGGAAGAACCCGCCATACTATAAAAAATTACGAGAAACTAACATCAATTACGTCATTTTAACAATACCTTATCATTTAGTTACTTTATAAAAATATATCTAATGATCTAAAACTCTTACCCAAGGAGTTTCATCAAATCAAATGGAATCAGAACTAGTTTAAGTTTCTTTTGTTTCATATAGTTTACCTATGTTCTATATCATTTTTGTCATTAAAATAAATAAATGAATAAACTTTAAGAAAAAAACGTCATTTTTACTTTTTACTTTGCATCATGAACATATCACTGTTAAAGCAAGGACCGTCTGTACAATTTAATGCATATTGCTAAGAGTTATCAAAAGTCAATAAATGCCAAAGTTATAATTTGACGAATGTACTAATATTATAGACCAAAGCTATATGGCAAGTATTGTCTTCAAAAATAATATTACGGGTGGGGTGGGGTGGGGGGG